TCGCTTTTGCCTTCTCCCTATGTCTTCCCTCTGTTAAAATCCCCCCCCACACACACACTTATTTTCAGGCGGATAGATTTCGTGTCTGAGCATTCTCACATGACGGTGGGTCTTTCCCCCCCCTAAAAACAGTTAAATAAAGAAAAAACAATATATCCTCATGCAAGAACTTTTCTGCTTCCGATTATCCCCATGCTTACAAGTTGCAAAGGAAACATGGAAGCAGGGAAGCGGCTGCCCAGCTCCGGAGCTCCACACCATTTTTTTTTCAGAGGGAATCTCACTCAAGTATAAGCCAAGGGGGTTTTTTTCAGCACAAAAAATGTGCTGAAAAACTCGGCTTATACTCGAGTATATACGGTATTTTCTGTTCAGGAGGTTCTGGGCTTTTTTGGATTTAATCCAAATATGATACGGATCCCTATAGCATATGCTTTTTTCTTTCTTACACAATTTACGTATTTATAGCCTTAAATAGCAATGAAAATAATAATAAAAGTTAACAGTTGACTGCAGAGTTCATCATTTGGGAAACAAAAATCAAATGCTTACCTGGAGCATGGGCTGATTGATACCTGTGAACAAGATTTTGGAATGGTAGATGATTGCAAAAAGAATCTGACCCACTAGTGTCTTGTGGCTTCAAAAAAGGCAAATATAAATTTAAACTTCGGCAACGAATTATAATTTGAAAATCATGGGAAACAATCATTCTATCTTATTCTATTTTGATGAGACTCCCATCTCGAAAATAGTCCTCAGTTCTATACCCTAGTCTTTAAGAATAATTTAGAGAACTTTGGGCAGCCTTGGAGATGAGAAGTTTTAATAATAGTTAAGAAATTAGAAATTAATTCTTATGAAGAGGGATTTTAGATGTTACTGATAAGAAAATAGGGCTATCCTAAAGGTACGATACAGAAAAAAGTAAAGTCCTGTTTTGTATAATCTCAGGATGTAAGGCACAGAATAAAAAGAGGACAGATTCCAGCTAGATTATCACCCTAGACCAAACTCACGTCACGGCGGTGTCATGTGATGTGTCGGGACTTTTTCTCCCTTTGCTAAACCAAGCGTGGACATGGCCAGCATGTGAAGCATCTGGCCTGCAGGCTGTAAGTTTGACAGTCCTGTCATGGATGGATGCTTCAATTTAGATTCCTGCATTGAATGGAAGTTGGATTTAACAGACTTAATGGGCCTTTATCATTCTTTGATTCTGTAAGTATTCTTTGCAGGCATCTAATATACTGTAATACGCATTTTCTTAGGAATTGAGAAATACTAGCTTGAACATTCCAATTTTTCTGGTAATTTGTATGGAGCTTTAATTTTATTTTAACCTATGCTGTTAACATAGTATATACTTCAAATGATTTTAAATATTGAACATATTGTCTAAGTACTCTAAAATTCTTTGTCATGCTACATTTTATTTCAGCAAAAGTTAATGCAGGATATATTGTATCTTTTTTCAGACCGACAAAATGTATAAGCCCTATATAAATCATGAACTAATGAGATTTTAGAAAACAACCTTTTAAATAATATCCTTTTTTTTTTTTTTAGAATCGAGAGCTTCAAATCATGAGAAAGCTTGATCATTGTAACATTGTCAGATTACGTTATTTCTTTTACTCCAGTGGAGAGAAGGTAAGTTGGAAAAAATGATTTTCTAGAATTTTAATAAATTTGTAGGACAAATACAAGCAACAGGCAAAGCTTTAGTGTGGATCATCTCATTATTTTGAACATTCATCTGACAACAAAAGTAGGGGGTGGCTGAATGCATACATATAATGCATACATATCAGTAGCATGTATTTTAAAAGAGTTTATTAAAAAGAAAACAGAAGGCATGATATTTGAAGCAGTATTTGCAGTCTGTCTCATTTTGGTGGAACAAACATGTAGCTGAACAGCAACAAATACAGTTCTTATTCTTGTGAAATACTACATTAATCTTTGTGCTTTGAAGTGAGAAAGAAGCTGATTAAAGTGGATAAAGAAAGATATTCTAGCTAGTAGCAAACTCTTGTCACTATAGATCAAAAGGTAAGTGTAATTTCAGGGGATAGAATATGTTTTTAGTTACATTTTGAATGTTTAAAATGTTAGGGGGATTTATAAACTTATAATGTATTTCACTATCTAGTTCCTCCTGAGCTCTTTTGTCACTTTCCTTCTTTTTTTCTTATTCTTTCCCTTTAATGTAGTACATGATATTACTTCATAATATTCATATCTCTATGCCTCTGTTTAAAGTAAAAAACTTTATGATAGTTGAAATATGATTGAATTTTATTGCATTCCTTGTATAATCTTATGTGCTTAAGTGGTATCCTTTACAAACATGAATTTTGTCAGATAACAAATTTTAACAAAAAGTTTTAAAAAATACTTGAAAAACCATATTATGTTATAATAGTAATGTGTATTATGATATGGATATCTTATTACAGATTTTCTTGTTTTCTTGCTTTTTCACCTTTTCAGAAAGATGAGGTATATCTTAATTTGGTGTTGGACTATGTTCCTGAGACAGTATACAGAGTGGCAAGGCATTATAGTAGAGCCAAACAGACACTCCCTATGATATTTGTGAAGGTAAGTGAAAAACTCAAGAAACTCAATCATTCTTGATTGTTATTTGTCTGTATTTGTACCACTGAGAAAGTTTTGGAATTGAAATTTGTTTAGTAGGAAGTCCATCCTTTTATCTTTGGAATCAATATGCTCTAAAGCAGGGGTGGGATTCAAATTTTTTAACAACTGGTTCTGTGGGCGTGGCTTGGGTGGTGGGTGTGGCTTGGTGGTCATGTGACTGGGTGGACATGGCTTGGTGGTCATGTTATTGTCTGGGTGTGGCCAACTCTATATCATTCACATAGAGGCACGCATCTCCTTGCCTGGCTTCTCATGACTGTGGGGATGCTGCAATAGTCGTAAGTGTGAAAAATGGTCATCAGTCACTTTTTTCAGTGCCATTGTAACTTTAAATGGTCACTCCACACAAGCAAAGTACCAGCAAAGGAGGGGAAAAAACTCCAGAGAAGTTCCTGAGACAGGAAGTCTAGTCCTGCCAAAAATGTAATAAGTGTTAACGGAGAGGCAGTTTCTGTAAGCAACACCAGAATGTTTCCTTTCTGCCTTCCTTACAGGATTAGGCCGGTAATTTCTTCTAACAACCGGTTCTCCGAACTGCTTAGAATGTTAACTGGTACTAGCGAATAGGTACAAACTGGTAGAATCCCACCCCTGCTCTAAAGTTGTAACTCCTATTATTTCTCCATAGTCCCTGCTTGATAGCAGAATATCTGCCATCTCCATAATGGGCATTCAAAGTGAGGTACTTCCACATTTTATTTTATTTGCTTGTTGTTTCCTTTTCTTTTTTTTTTCTTTCCATTTTGCAATTTGTTTTATTGGAATTGATGCTCACTGTGGTTGGTTGACTTTTGACTGGAAGATTTGACTGGAAGATTTGTGGAAGTTGGGCCTCTATTTTCGAAATGCATTTCAGAGAGCATAGTCTGCACTATGCACAACAAGTAAATGTGGTTCCCCTTTCACTTTATTACTCCTCGACTTCAATTTTGTTGTGGGAATGAATGCTAAACTCTCATGCTAAAATGCTGTTGTTTTATATGAGAGTTGTATGAAATTTAATGACTTGATACTAAAAGTCACCAAGAGATGGCAGTACTAACATCTGTTCTTTCACTTCATTTGATGAAAATTCCTGTGAACAAAAGTTGTGTATGGCTATTGTTTGTAAAGTTGAATTGTGTCATTAAGTTTTAAGCAACGTGATGTGAGTGAAGTTTTGATTGCCAGCCACATCAAAAATTGAAATTCATTGCCAGGTGCAGTTTAGGACACTGATTGTGAATACTGTGTCATTAGGTCAAAAAATGGAAAGATTGCAAACAATCTGATTTCTGTAATCAATCACAATTCTGTGATAATAACCACTGAGTTTCACATGAGAAAGGTAGAATTGATTAAAGAGAGCAGATCATTTAGACCTAAATTATCAAGCGTGGCAATGTGTGCAAAGTTTGTGCTAGAGGGTTTCTTAGAATGCTGATGGCCGAAATGAAAGTTTCAAGAGCTGAAACTTATCCATTTTTGTCACACCAAGAGAATGAAAGTGAGTAATAGCATTGTAACAATACATGTAATACAGAATAGAATTCTTTATTTACAGAGTCATATTAACAGCTTATGGGACTCATTATTATGATCCAGAAATGAAATATCAATCCATGGAATATCACAAAGCTTTACCTGAAGGGGGCAAAACCAAACCAAACCTAGGCTTTAGCAGGAAAATTCATGCTTACATTTAGAGCGAGGAATTCAGATGAAAGTATTTGTATGAATTTCCTTGAATTAGCTATCAACAAGAAGTACAATCCTACCACTGGCCAGATCAGTATTGTAGTTCTCCATGGGCCGGTGAAGGTGGGGGGCAGATAGGACAGACACCTCCTATAGCAACCTATCAGCCAAAACCGGACATGGGGGGGGCCTTCCCCCCTCCAGCACCTCGTTTTTGGTGTCCCCAGCCTCCAGCAGCACTCTCCCAGCTGAAAACGGGCTGCACGTCATTTTGGCTTGCAGAGGTGCTACATCCTTTGATATTTCCAGGCTGGCCACATGGGCCAGATTTAAGCCTCCTGTGGGCCAGATTCGGCCCGCGGGCCCTGAGTTTGACGCCCTTGGCCTAGTGCATAAGTTAAGAGAATGGAATAACTCTGTTTTCAGCATTTTCCTCAAATTCAATAGGAAGTGATGAGTCTGATGTCTATAGGAAGGCCATTCCTGAGTGTTGGCACTACCATAGGGAAGCAGTGCTTCTCAGTGTCATCTTTTAGAAGTTTGAGACTATAACCAAATGTCTGTGGAGATTCTCAGTCATCCAGCTCCTAGTGGTTTGAAACAAAAGCACCTTTGGGACAAGACTATAAGCAGTTTCTCTTTACAGCATTTGATGATTGACTGAATGAGGCTTCTTTTTTGGAATACATGATTTCCCACCATCACCACCCAAACATAATGTTTCTCATTAGTTCCATGGTTGTCTCACCTAACTAGAGAACTTTGTTCCATTAGACTGTTGATTTTTCAGATGCTCTTTGGCAAACAAGACAGGAAACAATATGCTTTCTAGTCAGTAATGGTTTCTTCCAGTAATGGTTTCTTCCAGTAATGGTTTCTTCATGCATATCACTCTGTTCAGTGATTTTCTTGATAGATTCATGAACATAGCATTAGATAATGTAAGACTGATCTACAAATCCTTTGCCATTATTCTTTGCTGTTCCTCAGAATTGTACCTCTTGTTCTTGGGCTTCTTTTTGTTAGACAACCATTTCTAGGAAGGGTAACAATGGTGTGTATTATCTTTGCCATGTGGCTACCTTTGGATTGATAGTGGCCTAAATCTTCCATAATAGCTTTTTCCAGCCTTATGAACATTAAAAACAAAACCTTTTTCTGAGCTCTATTCAGTTATTTATACTCTATAGTATAAATATAGGATTTATATCTTCTAGGGATAGGATTCATTTCTACAGATTGTCAAAAGGGAGCAGACTCTGATGGTGTTCCCTAACATGGTTTTTTTTTAATAAGGGCAGGTTCCTCAAACTCATACTTGATTGCCATCGTACTCTGATTGAACTTGATAACATAACCAAGTCTTGAGGGTTTTTTTGTAATAACAAAAGGGGTGGAATTAATTTATTGGGTGGGTGAGGAGGGTTAGGATGTTCCATAAATCAGGCACCACAACAGAGAAGGAATATCTTCTGAACCCATCAAACGCAGGTCCCTAGCTCATGGGATCTGTAACATGACCTCGCTTTCAGATCTAATGGCCCAGGCCAATAATACAACTGAGTACAAGCAGTCCTTCAGATATATACATGGTTCACAAATGATTCACAAACTTTCTCTCACCACTATTTCAGTCTTTGTTTGCTTCATTGCATCCTGATATGTTCTCCTTTACTCCTGGATTGAAAGATGCTTTGCCTTTTTTCTTGGACCATTTAATGACTTTTGATGCTGTTTACTAGACTATTCATTCCTCTTTAATAGTGATCTTTATGGTTTTATGTACATAAGTCATATCTTTATGGAGGCAGAGCTCTTTGTGCTCAGAACATTCTAATACTTCCAAACTGTTTGCAGGGCCTTCCATTTCCACCTCTCTGCCTTGCTAAGTGATTAGGCATAGTTCCCACTTAATTTTTAACTGCCCAGTGTTAACCCTTCAGCTGATCATCCTTCCATTCATCAAACTAACTTCCTTCCTTCCTTCCTTCCTTCCTTCCTTCCTTCCATCCATCCATCCATCCATCCATCCATCCATCTCTCTGTCCGTCATAGAATGGAAGAGTTAGAATGGATCAACATTAGTGTACAAGTTTTCTAAATTATCCTTGATAGTGGCTATTAAGCTTTTGATTGAAAACATTCCAACAGGAAAACCATAATTTATTTTATTTTTGCACTGAATAAGACATTCCAAGTTGCTTTGGTTGGTAAATTTAGCTAGCTTTTTCCAGAGGAGCTTATATATTATATAGAATAATATAAGACATGTTTTTAATATTCTACAAGTAGGGTTGTTTTACAGAAATATATTTTGTCCAATATGAGAAAAACATATTAATGATGGGAGTTAATTAGATAACTATTATATTTTTGTATCATTGCGATAATTTCTATGCATCTAACTGCTTTGATTTCCCTAATGCAGCATTCTTTACAGTTAGCCATGCTTGTTGTGGCCTACTGGAAGTTGCAGTTGAAGAGCATCTGAACTGTACCTTATGTGCCAAAAGAAATGTGAAAAAATGTTTTGTAAGATGAGTAAATAAATGTGTATGTTATGAAGAAAAAATACTTATTGAGATACTGTTTCAAGTATTATAAAAGTCTTATTACATTTTCTATTTGCCAATGTTTTGATATGGGAAGTATAATCATAATATTTATTCTTTATGTTACAGTTGTATATGTATCAATTATTCCGAAGTTTAGCCTATATCCATTCCTTTGGAATATGTCATCGGGATATAAAACCACAGAATCTTTTGTTGGACCCTGACACAGCTGTTCTAAAACTTTGTGATTTTGGAAGGTAAATATTTTCAGGACTTTTTTCATCATTTCCCAGTTCACATTTTAATTATAATTATTGTAGCCTCAGCAGTTATTCCTACTAATGGTAGAAATTGAACAAAACAGGGTAAATAGGACACAGTTACTACAGAGAACAGGTAAATTTCAATGATTATTTTATAGTTAGTGGGAATAGCTACTTAGGTCTGCAGTTGGATTAGCTTGAAGAAAAAAAATATTTCACAGTTTTCTGATTCATTTATGAATGCTTTCAGTTCAAAGCTAGAATCTTTGATTTTAACAGGAGTAGTTGGAAAATTAGGCTGAGAAATTGGGACATAGATCCAGGCTTTTAAAGAACTTTGTATATTTATCTCTTCCTTGGTACCATGTTAATTAGCAATATATGATAAAGTTTTATGTGAACAAGATTTTTTTTTTAAAAAAAAGATATATTGGAACAAATTTTATTGATCTTTTGAGAAAACATAGTATGTTCTATATAGAATTACTACTAATACCAAATCTACCTTTGCTGGAATCACGGTTGTTTAATTGCTGAGAAGAACTGTGATCAGCCTAATTTATCTTCCAGCAGCAAAAAGCAAAATAATTACATTATGCCAAAAAGGAGCCGGAACTCATAGGTGCTATTGTGTTACATTTGTTCCTGGTAAAGCTTTGTTTTAAATCTCCTAACCATAAATAGATAAAGCCAAAGAAAGAACAACAGGATTTCAGACATTCCATTCCATAAGAATAAATTTAGAACTTTCTCAAATGAATTGCCTGAATTCAACTTTTTATCTAAACTAACCCTAACTTTATCCAGGGTCTGTTGCAGATATGCTTTGCAACTCTTACCTTGCCGGTGCAAAAGGCAGATTAAAGATTCTTTCAATTTTGCAACAATTGTGCCATGTATTCTAGGTGAAAGATAATTAAATGTATTATCTGAAGAAGTATTCTATAACTTTGAAACAAGATAGTATTTATTTATTTAGCAAAATGATAGGCTGATCTTGTTTTTTGAGGAACTGAAAAAGGTAATGCTATTGAAAAATGGTTTAGAATGACTGTGGCAGAATACCCAAACAGAATTTGACTGAGTGCTGATAAAAGCTCATCTTAGATTCTGTATGGTGGCAAACATTTACTGAGCCTGAGGATTCCTGTTCAGCGATCCATTCAATATTACCTGGATCTTCGTAGAAAGTTGGAAGGGATAAGTTGCTTGCAGTCTTCTGTCTTCCCAGATGATTTTGAGGGTTTCATGGCAGACCAGATGAATTCCATAGAGTCTTCCAAATGTCATATTTATGATTCAAAGCTATGTGTTTGGACGAATACGACTCCCAGCAGATGTCAAGAACTTCATAATTCATGGCTCCAATCAGCAAAAATATATTTATCTCTGGCCAGGTAATTCCAGTGTTTGGAATGGCTGGATTAAATATTGAAAAGCAGCATAGACCATGTTACCGTCTGGATTAAATTAATTCTGAATGACAGAGTAAAAGGAATTTTTTTTTATTGTAGGCTTATTCTGGATTGTTAATTATCAGGGATGTTTAGCACATAACCTTTTTTTATGCAAAAAAGACAGCATTTCATTTTTTCATAGGATAACCAACATGTTCTTAGTAGAGGTATTTTCCCTTTAAAAAGTTAAATATGGATAAATGTGTAAAATGAAAATTTCAACTGGTGTAAACTGCGGCAATCTATATGCAGACAGATGAAAGCAAATAGTGGGGCTGATCATTGCATATAAAACTCTATGGTGCTTAGATCCAGACTATTCATTGGATTTTCTCTTCCACAGCCAATCTACCCAAACTCTCTTCAATCCACGTTCTAGATTATGCCACCACACCATATCAAAGGGGGAATTCACATGTGGGGGTCAGTTGATATGTCTTCCCCAGCATCCGGTAATAGGTGGAAACTCTCCTTGTTATGGCTTGATTGTTTCCAGTGATAATAGTTTAATGTTGGGGAGAACGGATAGTTTCTGTACCCACTTCCTCCTTTCAGACTAATATTGTTACATCACCCACACTGTAACTACATTTATCATTGCAGCAGTTAAAACTAGGTAACAGTTAACTTCAGAGTCAACTTGACAGCTCAACATCCTTGGATTGTTTTCTTTTTCTTTTTTGTCTCTTTCTCTCCTCCAATGTTATAATCCTATAGTCTGATTATAATACACAACCAAGTAGGCATTAAGTAATCATCATCAATAATACCCAAAATATTCAGGATACAATTTTATTAGTAACCATATTTTTGTTAAGTATTTTAGTATTTTAATACTTCACTAGAATCTAGCTTCAGAACTATTTCATAGTTAAACATTTATTACAGTTTTTTCTGTCTCATGATTTAAATATGCTCTGGTACTCCAGTTGTTACCTACTGTTTCCCTTCTGCTTTGTATAATTTTTAGCTACCTTTATCCCACTCCCAGTTCCCCCTGTAATATTGTAATTGAATTATACCTAGATATATTCTAAATGTAGACTGTGACTAGAAATCAAAACTCATTTGATTCAGAAGGGCTCCTCGAATAGCCCATAATAGAGTGTAAAATTCAATCTGGCAATAGGTGGAGCCATTTAGTTTGGAAGAAATTTTAGTTGATATCTACTGCTGATAGTATGAGTTGTTAAACTTGGAATGGGCTACTTGAGTTACAGAGAAATCATCTCTTGGCTGAATTTTGCTGAGCTTTGGTTAATAATAACCATTATTATTACCTTTTATTGTCAGAGTACAACATGTGTACAATGAGATTGGCTGAGCCTCTCTTTGTGCACCCCCTCCCCAACACAACTCACAGTGAGGACAGAAGTCCCTAACCCAGTCCCAATCTTATTACACTATGTGACCTTGTTGCACAATGCCCTGGCCCCGCAAGTCTATCATACTATGTTGACACGAAGTTATTTTCTGTTCAGAAGTCTGACAGCCCACAGGTAGAAACTGTTCTTCAGCCTGTTGGTGCAGCTGGCTATGCTTCTATATCTTCTACCTGATGATAGGAGAGTGAAGAAGTGCTGACCAGGGTGTGAGTTGTCCCTGAGAATTTTCCTCACTCTTCTAAGGCAGCGAGCCCTAGCGATGTCATCTAGTGGTATCAGGGAAGAGACCACGATGTTTTGTGCTGTGCTCATCACCCTCTGTAATGTCTTTCTATCCATGGCTGTCAAGCCAGCATACCACACCATAATACAATATGAGAGGACACTTTCTGTTATGGATCAGTAAAAGGAGGTAATCAGTCATTGTTCCACTTTATTCTTTCGCAAGACCCTAAGGAAATGGAGTCTCTTTTGGGCCTTTCTGGCCACCTGGGTTGTGTTGATTTTCCAGGTGACATCTTCACTGAGGTAGACCCCCAGGAATTTAAAGGAGGAAACTCTTTCCACACAGCCCCCTCAATTTAATGTATGGCGGGTTCCTCTCCTTTCAGAAGTCTAACACCATCTCCTTTGTCTTGCTGATGTTCAGGTGCAAGTTGTTTTCTAGGCACCATGAGGATAACTTTTGAACCTCCCCCCTGTATTCTGTTTCATCTCCATCTGTAATGAGACCCAATATGGTAGTATCATCTGCGAACTTAATGATCACAGTGGATGGGTCAGATGATACACAGTCAGTGAGAACAGGTAGGGCATGAGCACACAGCCCTGTAGGAAGCCAGTGCTAAGCTTCAGGGAGGTGGATGTGACATACCCAGCCCTCACTGTTTGTGGTTGGTCCCTCAGAAGGCCTTTGATCCAGTTGCAGGTGGAAGAGGGAAAATCCCAGTCAGTCAGCTTTTCGATAAGGATGCTTGGCAGAATAGTATTGAAGGCTGAGCTGAAGTCAGTGAAAAGCATCCTGACGTAGTTTCTGGGTTTCTCCAGATGGCTTGCTACAGAATGTAAGGCAGTAGCTATGGCGTTGCCTGTAGACCTGTTCCCCCTGTAGGCAAACTGATGTTTGTCAAAGTCTGGTGGGAGGCATGTCCTAAGGTGTTGGAGAACCAGTCTTTTGAAGCATTTCATCACTATTGACATTAATGCGATAAGTCTGTAGTCATTTAGGCAGTTAATTGCTATTTTCTTAGGGACTGGGACAATAGTGGCTGCTTTGAAGCATGTTGGAACACAGGCCATTTGCAGGGAGATGTTAAAGATCCTTGTCAGGACCCCTGTTAATTGATTGGCACAAGTCTTTACCACTATCCCTAGCACCCCATCTGGACCTGCAGCTTTACTGGGATTCACAGCCTTCTGTGCAGCTCTCACTTGATATTTGTATAGGGTGAGTGGCTGGGAATTAGAAGGCTGGCAGGCAGAGGCAATGAGGTCTGGTCTTTTCATCTTGTAGCGAGCGAAGATGTTCAATTTCTCTACCAACGAGGCATCAGCATTGACCGGTTCCTCGTGTTGCCCTTATAGTTAGTTAGGTCCTGCAGTCCCTGCCACACTTGCTTCAGGTTGTTATCTGCTGGATGCTTTGCTGCTTCCACAGGAGCTATTTGGGGAGGGCAATGTCTCATAGTTCAGAAATAAGGTAGGCTGGATGGCAGATCAAGCAGACTTGGATAAGAATGAAGTAGAATTGGTCCCATAAAATGGTAAGAAACTGGCTTAACTACTGTAGGATTAAAATTGTTATGAGGGAAGATGGAACTGATGGGAAGACCTGGTTTGGTTATGTGCATGCAGAATACATGCAAGTCAAACATTGTTTCATGAAGCACAAGTGCTGGTGTTGAGAAAGCTGTTTTAAGCAATGCAGTATTAATACCTAATTTTAAATCCTCCTTTTTTGTTGTTTTGTTTATATTTATTGGACACCTAGGTCCAATTTGTAATCTTAGTTACATGTCTAGAGGAATGTTTTTTTTAACCAAAGTTTCTTTGAGGATGATACTTTCTATATGGAGACTTAAAAGGTCCTTGGGCAGAACTTTGTTACCACTAGCTTATCTTAGGAGTGATGTCTAGAAGTAGTTTTGTTCTTTTCTGAAATGACTTAGCAGAGTACCTATGTCTTACATTAGGCAACAAAGACTTGATTTTTAAATCATATAAATATATTTTAGATATATTTGAATCGAGTGAACAGGATATTTGGAGTTTCAAATTTCCTTAAGTTATTTGCAGTTAATGGGCCAGTTGTTGTATTTATTCCTGTTGTATTTTTGTCTATATGGAGATTAGAATTTGCAGCAAATGGCCCAAAACCTGAATGGCAGACTTAAATTGGTTCGTAATATCTGTATACTACAAAAACTCTTGTCATGACCTTTAACTAGGTGAAATGATGCATCAGATGGTAACACTATTTTTTAATTAGGGTACCTCAATTTGGCTAATTTACAGAATATATCAAAAAATCCAGGACTCATGACTTCCAAGGGAATGAAATGTGGGAAAGCTTCAGTGCTATGGGCTACTGCTGCAATCATGTGATACTCATTTTCAACAAGGAGACAATTCCCCAGCCAGTCTTAAAATCCATCACTCTTTCTCCCACCCTGCAGTAGCCACTTACCTGTCTGCTGGAAGGAGAAGAGAAGGGGAAAGAAGGGAGGGATAGGGAGGAAGGAACCCCTGTATATACCTTTCCTAGGTCATGCTGCTCTCCCCAAAACCTTCCCTGATCTGTCCCACCCCATGTGCCTTTCCCGAAGCATGCAGCATCTCTTGTGCACCCTGCCCGATATGCACGACTCCCATGAGCTTTTCCCAAATATGTGATGCCCTATGGGCATCCCCACATAACCTTCCTGACCACTATCTCCCCCACACGATGTCCCTGACTAGCATAGCACCTCTTGCACACTCCCAAGCATTTCCAGGTACCCTTCCTAACCCATGTCATCTGCTCCCTGACATGCTCCCCCAACTGGCTAGGCACTTCTCAAACAGGTATGCCCTTTGCTATAGCCAATTGAATATAAATGAACTTATATTTAAATTCTGTTTCCAATAACAGATTAAGCAACATTTATACGCCATCATCAAATGCTTTAAAGTGTCTAAAGATAATTCTGGAATATTTTGTGTGTAGTAGAGTTCTAACTGAATTGGACAGGAAATATACAATTATTTAAAGATGTTTATCTTACTTAACATTAATGCAGTGAATATTTATTAAAATCATAATTTTTAAATAATTATCATATATAGCTACATCTTTTGGCATCCTTGCATGGTTTAGAAATAACCAGAAGCTAAGTTGGTTTCCTGGAATCAAGAATGGGAGCTTTTGTGCATGTTAAATATATTTCTCTTTAAAAACTTTAATACTTCAAAAGAAACCATGCATTTTAAAAGTTATTATAAATATGAAATATATCCTTTATTCCCTTAGGATAATATTTTTTTTCATTTTGTTCACTGATTAATGTAAAAAGTTAAATTGGATTATTCAGTACAGGGTCTTAATAAACATGTCTGATCCTTTGAGATCAATTAAAGAATATTTCCTGGAAAATAGATAGATTTGTGCTACTAATATTTGAAGAGTTAGGTTTTGTACTAAGAATTTATATTTTATCCATTGAGATTTGAAAAAATATTTCTGAATTTTTCATGTTATCTACAGATACAGTTCATCTTGCTTTTTCCTATTTGCACTAAATTTCACTTAACTAGAGTACCGAACTCACTAACATTGAATAATAAAATGGTTTATTTGCTATGTTTTCCTGAAAATAAGACCTATCCCAAAAGAAGACCTAGATTGATTTTTTACGTGTGCACCTAATATAAGCTCTACCCCAAACTAAGCCCTGGTTAAGATGGTGCCCACTTATTTCACCATCTGGTTGTACAAGGTGGAGTGAGGCGCATGTATAAAAATCAAGCTGGCGGGGTGGAGCTGCCCCATGCAGCCACTTATTTTAGGTCTCCCACGCCTTGAAACCTGCCTTGCTGTGATTTCTCCTGTGGCTGCCTGCGGCCGGACGCCACATGGGGCATTGCAGCAGGATGCTCCATGATGCGTCACACTGATGATGATGTTTGTGACAGGAGGCCACATGGTGCATTGCATCCACTCACATATGAAACAGCACAACAAGCTGTGTGGCCCCTTGCTGCGAGCAGCATCACTGGCACAACCTGCCATGCGGCATCCAGAAGAAGTCAGGCAGCAGTGTGACAGGTGTTGGGCCATGGAAGGCCTGACTACAGTGGTCCTAAGGTAAGCATGTAAGCCCGAACAACTGGGTCTTATTTTTGGAGAAATTTGCATAATTTTTATTTATCTTAAATACTTGCATTTATGATAAATGCCATTTTTTGCTTTTCTTAAATTTTAGAGGAAGTGCATATACTTCTTTAAATATTATTTTACTGAAAATCATATATTTTGTATATTGAACATTAAGCTTTATATTATAATTTCATTTTCAGTGCAAAGCAGCTAGTTCGTGGAGAGCCTAATGTCTCTTACATCTGCTCTCGATATTACAGAGCACCAGAGTTAATTTTTGGAGCCACAGATTATACTTCTAGTATAGGTATGTATTTGTTTTTTCATTTTAAACTGAAGTGATCAGTATATTGGAATGGAGAACAAAAGGTTACATGAGCATTACACAATCATATTTCTTCTAATTAAGGAATGAAAGAAAATAGAGGAAATACATTCAGCTGGTAGTTTCCTTTTTTCCTCTTTTATATGATCCATCATGGCTCTCTAGGGCAGGAGTGTCAAACTGGCAGGCCAGATGTGTCACGCACAGGCTATGCCCAGCCCAGCTCCGCGAATGGGAAAAACATCACATGATGACAACATGACGTAGCAAGTTTGACACTCGTGCTCTAGAGTCCCCAAAATAAATGTAGCAGACTCACAGCTGGTCTCCTTGATCTATAAATATAACCTGTACATTTTAAGAGGTAAAGAACCTGGCGTTCTATATCCTTTATATACCATCCAGGAAACTCAAAAGTGTTTAAATGTTACATGAAATAAGTTTGGGCTTCTTTTCAGGCATCAAAGTACGTGTGAAGGAAGATAATGATCATCAACCAATCACAATCCATTTCCAAAGCAGATATGATACTAGATTGCCTGTGCTTCATAAGATGCTACTAACTAATCTCAAAGGGAGGCATATTAGAAGGCTTAATTGGGCCAAGGTAGATACTAAGATAATATCTATCTTCTCAATTTGGAATTGGCCCAGACTTGGAAAAACTCTGTTTTTTCCTCTACCCAACGTCCAAATAAAATCCATACCCAGTACACTGTGTCTTTCATTGGGAAAAATTTTAATAGATAAAGTTCCCATCAAATCTGTCCACGTGCCAGAAAGTTACTGAGGGCAGTAGGGTCTCCACGTTGTTTTGCTTCCAAGGAATTGCAAAAGAGCAACATGGTGACATGAAGTCATAAGAAAAAATGGATTTTCATATTTTTAAAGGGATTGGGGTTTTATCTTGTTTTTAATAAAGCAGGTTTGTTAAGATAACTGGAAGGTTTAAAAAATGTCCCTTGAGTAAAATGTGATTCTTAGTATACCGTAGCCATAACGGAATACATTTTTTGGTAACAATCCATATGGAGTTTATCATTGCCTTTTTTTCCTCCTCAATCTACAATCCAGCTTCAGATTCCTAGTATTAATCAGGCCTGATCGTGCTCATCTTTCTAAGATCACACATATTTGGCTAGGTGCTTACTAAGACTCTAGATGTTTACAAAGCTAATTTTAATTATTATTTTTATTTTAAAAATAAATAGAAAATTGCCCTAGTAAAAATCAATGAGTTTATAGTAAATTTATTGAAATAATCTGTGGGGGCTGTTGAATGGTGCCCTGCAAGATCTCAGTTTCTGGACTAGTGGATGAGTACTACATCAGATATTCCAACTGGGGTTTTTGTTTTGGGTAAAAATAGTACATTGTACTCATGAAGAATAGACAGTACCTGCAGCTTGGATATGACTTCCCTGTCATTTTCTTAATTTTAATATTGCTGTTTCCCAAAGTTAATTTAAGCAATGAATAATGCAAGCCATATTTAAAATTGATTCCCTCCCAAGCCATGCTTTATTAAATTTACAGTGCATTTTAAAATTATTTATCCTTTTAAGTTTGTTTCCATTTTGAGATAGAATTTACAATAATTTAATAATTTAAAATTTCTTTGAAATCCACCCCTTGTCAACTTTAGACACATTAGAATTTAATGATTCTTATGCAAAGCTCACTTCTGGCAAGGAACTTCATACTGAGGTTCTTTTTTTCTCAGGGGCTGAGAATAGTTGGAAACAGATTTCTGAGAAGAGGAGACTAAAGCCACTTCCCATTTATTATTAGCATTATCACTACTGCAGTCACTGCTTCTTTTGCTGAAGCTTCTAAAAGCTCCTATGCTTACCGTTACCACAAGGCCCATCAGCCATAAAGTCTTATTGAAGAAGCAATCTAATAGTTGTTAAGACACCAGGTAGAAAGTGGGAGACCATGCGTTCTTAACCATAAAATCCGGCTGGGTGATTTTGGGCCAGTCACACTCTCTCAACCCAACTCCCTACACAGGATTTTATGGGGGAAAAGAGCAGGAAGAAGTGTGTTGGATAAGTTTGCTACCTTGAGTTATTTGTAAACAAAGGCAGGGCATAAATAAATGTTTCCAGAATTATTTTTTCTTCATTATTTTATTGTTTGCAGAATGTGGCTGATACCATATGATGGGGACTGGCAACATGCCAGTCCCCATAAAACTTCTTTGGTGTTACTGACCTTCCAGAATGATACATTTTAGATGAAGGTCGCATGAAATATTTGATGTTTTGATTACTTTAAAATGGTTTCTTTTCAACATCTACAAATTCTCATTAGGATAGCTATTACCTGAAAAGATTGCTGAGTCCTCAGTAGTGTTGTGATTCTGCTTGAATATATCATTCTAGTCATTATATTTTAAGGATAAAGCAGAGAAAACTATTGGAATGATGGGCTTCAAGAAAATATAGATTTGTGCCTTTTTAACTTCGAGAGGAATTTATAAGTATGTATAGCATGAAAAAAGTGTATTTGAATAGGTTTTTTTCTTTCCCAAAATACTAGATCTCCCAGCAATTCATTGAAATTAAATATGGGGAGATTACATGACAGTAAAAAGCACACAATACTTAAAAATGCTTATTTAAATACACGCTAAACTGTTGTACACAGACAATATTAGCTTATGCAGTGAAAATCTTCCAGTTTAACTTTGCAACATTCTGCTGCCAAATGAATTAATGGTCACCACGTTTTAAAAGAGGAGCAAATCTGTAAAGGATACAGTTAGCAAAAGTTACTAATCTTCATGTTTTTATTCTGAAAAATATAAATAACACACACATGTCTCCAGAAGTTGTGGATGCTCCAGCACTGGAATTATTTAAGGAGAGATTGGGCAACCATTTGTCTGAAATAGTATAGTACTTCCTGCCTGAGCAGGGTGTTGGAGTAGAAGACCTCCAAGGTTCCTTCAAGCTCTGTTATTCTAACTCTGTTATTCAACAAAACTCTGTGTTCTGTTATATAAGATATTGGACTAGGAATAAGGAGAGCCATGTTGAAATCCATCCCCTTAGCTACGAGTACTCATTGGATGACTTTAAGCCAGCACTCTTTGTGAAACCAATCTCCCTCAAAGGTTGTTGTGGGTGAAAAAATTCTAGATCCGCTATCCTGAGCTTATAAAGAAAAGGTAGGACATAAATTTGGAAACAAACTAAATAGCAGCACGCTGATTGCAGAAATAAGAGTATTGGAATATAAAGGCCCTGAATGCTGTATGTGCCCCATGGTCTCCAGATTGCTTATTCCTTCTCTAACAGAATGAACTTAAAAGGTGAAAAAAATGATATATATATCATATGTGTTTGTGTGTGTGTGTGTGTGTGTGTGTGTGTGAAGTTTTTGCGGGTACTTACATGTATGGCTTTGTTCGGGTATTTTCCCACGTCATTATAGTTGTGCTTTTAAAGTTGTAGCAACGTTTCGGCAGAATCTCATCTGCCATCATCAGGCTT